GTCTCGGTCAGGGATAAGGTAAAGTGATTAACACCACACAAGACTAACGCTTAAAGTCAGGCCAGAATGCTTAGCGAGGGTGAATGGCTGACTAGCTGAATAAGCCAGGCTGATATGACTAGAGTCACGTGATGAAGACCATTTGGGAAGGCAGGTACATAGGGAAGGAGGTGGAATTGAGGTGAATGAGGCCGAGTGGGAAAGGTTAGGCAAAAGATGGAGGAGGACAGTGAATTTGGAGCAAAGAAGTTGATGCTAAATGAAGCTGGGTAGCTGACACAGAGTAACAAGACAAAGGCTTAAAGATGAAGACAGCTGTGGTTAGAGCCAGGTAGGTAAGGACCTGGGGTTTTAAGGACACTGGAACACATACATCCAGAGAGCTAAAATCGGGCATAGGGTCAGGAGCTAGGCCTAGGGTCAGCCAGGTAGCTAAGGTGAAGAAGCTGAGCCAAGGGTTGGGGAGGTGGGGAAGCAGCCGAGAGGGCAGGGTCAGGCCCGAGGTCAGGAAGTAAATAAGGTCAGATGTGTATAGCCAGGGGGCAAGGCCCACAGGTTGAGGCCACATAAAGTTGCATGGCTGACACCACACCCTAAGGCCAAAGCTTAAAGTCAGCTTAAATGGGCTTTGGTCAGCTGGGTATGGGACAGAGTAAAGGCATTTACAGCAAGGCAGCTATGTAAGGCTAAGAAGTTGAGCCTAAGGATAGGCCAGAAGATTGAGGCCCAGGGTGATGGCCACGCTGTTAGGAAAGGTCAGTGATGTCAGTGAGTAAAGCCAGGCTGACAAGGACAGAGGGGTTGGGAGGGCGCTGTAGTGGCCAGGCATGAAGAATCAAGAATGAAGGCTAGCAATTGAGAGTGAAGAGGCTGCCAGGATACCTCAGTGATAGTGGAGGCCATGGGTTCAGTCCCCAGCAGAGGCAAACACATGAACCAAGATCACCAGATAAGCAAGGCCAAACGTAAAGCTGGCAGGATAAGACCAGGTAGCCTAGGCCTGACCACAAGGGTAAGTTCAGGTGGGTCAGTTAAGAGGAAAACAAAGCAAGTGGAGAGAGCAGGTGTGTTACCGTGGAGTGAGCCCACTTGAGGCAGGTGAGCTGAGTAAGTAGGGCGAAGCTACACCATTGGGACAGATCACGACTGCTTGAAAAATCCCAGGGTGATAATAAAGCTGCTGGTTACACCAGGTGGTAAGATCAAAGCTGAAAACCAGCAGGGAAAGAATGTGGGTAAAGCAAAGTGGGTACAGCCAGGCTTCCCGTAAAGGGTAAATAAGGCCAAATTTAGGTTTGGTTACCTAGGCATGTTCTGGAGGCTGGGAGACATGAGTTCCAGGTGACAGTGCACTCGTTTGCCTTCTGAAGGCTGCATTTCCCTTTCAGATGTCATCCTGATGTTCTGTCCCAGAGGAGAGGACCTGTGTCTTCACAAGGCAGAAGGCAGAAATGCGAAAATGATGAGCTTCCTCCATTGACGTCTTTCCAAGTGCTCCATTCTCAGGAGTTAACCACCTCTACTGGCAATTAAGTTTGAATTCCAGATGGGACAAAACATTGAAACCATTAGAATCCTTGTAGATAAACTGATGGAATCCTCTCTCCTGCATGAGGACATCAGTAGGCTGACCATAGTATTCATATAGATGAACAGATCCATTGCCCTGTCCTTCAGGTGGACACCAGTAGGCTTATCTCAGCATCCTTGTAGATGCAAGGTACAGTCCCTGGCAATTCTTTCTCCTGCAGAAGGACATCAGCATGCTTCCCTTCATATCCTTGTAGATCAACAAGTACAACTCCTTCTCTTACATGGGGATGTCAGCAAGCTGACCTTAGTATCCTTATAGTTAAAAAGGTGCAATCTTCTCTACTGCAGGACCTCAGCAGGCTGACCACAGTATTTGAGTAGATAACAGCTCCATTGCTCTGTCCTTCAGGAGGACATCAGCATGCTTCCCTAGTATCCTTGTAGATCAACAGGTACCATTCCCTCTCCTGCATGAGAACATCAGCAGGCTGACCTTAGTATTCAGGTAAACAGATACAATACTGTGTCCTGCACGAGGACACCAGCAGGCTTATCTTAGTATCCTTGTAGATGGAAGGTACAATCCCTAGCAATTATCCCTCCTGCATGAGGACATCAGCAGGCTGATCAGAGTATTTGTGTAGATGAAGAGCTCCATTGCTCTGTCCTTCAGGAGGACATCAGCATGCTTCCCTTAGTATCCTTGTAGATCAGCAAATACAATTCCCTCTCCAACATGGGGACATCAGCTAGATGACCTTAATATCCTTATAGTTAAAAAGGTGCAATACGCCCTGCTGCAAGAGAACATCAGCAGGCTGACATAGTATCCTTGTAAACAGATGCAAACTTCTCTCGTGCATTAGGGCAGCAAGAGTCACCTTAGTACCCTTGTAGATAAAACAGGTACAATCCTCAGCAATCCCCTCTCCTGCAGGAGGACAGCAGCAGGCTGACCAGAGTGTTCATGTAGATGAAGAAGTCTATTCCTTTGTCCTACTGGAGAACATCAGCAGGATTACTTTAGTATTCTTGTAGATAAACAGTTCCATTTCCCTGTCCTGCAGGAGGATATCAGCAGACTGACAATCCCCAACAATCCCACCTCCTACATGAGGATATCAGCAGGCTTCTTAGTATCCTTGTAGGTAAACAGGCCCATTGCCCTGTCCTACATGAGGACATTAGCAGGCTGACCTTAATATTCTTGTAGATGAACAGGAGAAATCCCCAGAAATTTCTTCTCCTGCACCAGGACATTAGTAGGCTGATCTTAGCTATCTCATGGATGCACAGATTGAGAAAGAGGAGCAGAGTTGCCATGCCCACTCTGGGCACACCCCAGTCCAGGAAGCTCCACAGTCAGATATCTGGAATGTCTACA